TCCAATAGTGTGGAACACTAATTTCCCCATTAATAAATTTATTTTGATGCATATATATGGTGTGAAATTCGATTTTGATTTTTCAACACAATGACCAGGCGGTTAATTAATTATTGAATTTTGACGATCAGTAATTGTAGAGCATAATGACAGCTTCAGTGGTAAGCAGTGACAAGGATTCTCTGTTTACAATGCCTTTTTTTGTAACAATTGGCTAACGGATTGCTATTTTATTGGAAATAAGAACAGAATCAACCTTTTGAAAGTGTTGTATTATATGGAAAGTTCGATTGTACTCTGCTTTTTGGAAAAAAAAAAAAAAGTAATCCATTTTTATATCACGTGTTTCTTGCCCCATTCACACATAACAAGCATTTATTGTCTGTGTGACCTTAAAGCTCTCTAAACATTGTCCTTCACCTATATCAATTATTCATATGAATAAAAATAATAATAATCATAAGTTCATAAGACATATTCATAAGACTTTGCATACAATATTTTTGATGTATGACAATAGTTAACCTTCCACCAAAAGTACAAAATGTTTTTAAAGATAGATATAGGCAACAACTTTCTTAATATATATCATTAACCTTGACTTCAGGAAACAAATAAATTAATAATGATGAAAAACACTTGAAATTCGTTGTCTAAAGTAAAATAGGCAACGATTTATATAAATTGTCTTTTATTTTTAAATAGATAACAAAATATAATTACTGTCTATCAAATACCTATTTATGCAATACAAATAACTCGTTCCCATTGATAATAAACAATAACTTAATATTTTTGCCTAATTTTTTTTAATGTAACATGTAATATATACTTGTTGTCTATGGTATTAATTTATACAGGCAACATCATGACCTGTTGCCCATTGATCATTTAACTTTTTTAGAAAAAGGAAAAATAACAATAAAATCCCCCCTTCAAAATGCCATAATTCCATTGAAGTTCTTAGGGACTTCTATGTTGATAAATTTTAAAGTAAAAAGATCATTTTATTTTTAATAAAAATAACAAGTCACAGTCACAATTTTTTGCTTAAGGAATAATAACTTTTATTTTGTGAAATATAAGAGTTGAATAAGAAATCATAACTTGTTAAATATAATTTTTGTTATTAAAAAACAAGCCTCAATCATAACTTTTGCTTGAGAAATAACAACTTTTGTTTTGTAAATTATAAAAGTTGAATAAGAAATCATAACTTGTTAACTGTAATTTCTATGATTGAAAAGCCATTTTTTAGAATAACAAACCCCAATCACAACTTTTATTTAAGGAATAATAACTTTTATTTAAAGAATTTCTAGAATTGAATAAGAATTTATTGACGTAGAAGTCTCTAGAGACTTTAGTAAAATTATAACATTTTGAGGAACTAAATTATTATTTATATAATTCGAGAGGGGGTTTTATTATCATTTTCCCTTAAAGAAATCTATACATATTATTGTTTTTTTTTAAATCTTTATATTTTATTTTTTTAAGAAATTCTACCTATCAAGTGTAAAATATATTTAAATGATATGTAATGACTACGGAATTTAGTAGCTTAAAATTGTTATCTATTGTCTAAGTATAGGCAATAATTTTTTACACATCTAAAAAGTAAAAAAAGAAATGTTGCGTTAGGTAAAAAGTAATGGCCGCATTGACTATAGTAATTAAGAAACCATTACCTGTAATTATAAGCAACAGTTTGTTACCTTACGTCAATTGTTTTCAGTTATTGTTACAAGACAGAAATGTTTTAATGAACAATAAAAGAAATGAATCAAAAAAATTATACTCCCGCGGTCCCTAATTATAAATCCCAATTTTAGATTTTTTGTGTCCCTAATTATAAGTATAATTGCAAAGTTCTTGATATTATTAAAACGTATTTCTTAAAATACCCCTTACAAAAAATTCAAAATTACCTTTTTTTTTCCTTAATAAAGACGTAATTTTCAATGGGAACATTTAATTGTGGAAAAATCTAGAGAGAACAAAAAAATTCTTTACATGTTAGTCTCTCCATCCCAAATTATAAGATACTTTTGGATAAAATTTTACATACTAATAAAACTCATTAAATGTACTTTACAACCTTACTTTTTCAAGAAAAAAATATAAACTTTCAAAAATACTCTTCATTTAATACTTCATTGATAAAAGAATATTGAAAAAAGAGAATATATGATAAGAGTAATATTAAAAAAAAGTATCATTAATGAAACTTTATTTTTGTCAAAGTGTCTTATATTTTAGAATGTTAAATATTCTCTAAAAGTGTCTTATAATTTGGGATGGAGAGAGTGACTAGATTTTAATATTTTCTTATTAGGATGTGTTTTTGAAAAATTAAGGGGTACAAATTAAAAGAATGAATCAATGAGCAATGGATAAACTACGAAAGTGCGTAAAGCTAAGCCATAATAATTGTAGTGCACTAGTGCTCGTTTCCAAATGTAATCAGAATATTTTTATCCATTGCTCGTCCACTAGTGCTCGTTTCCAAATGTAATCAGAATATTTTTAATCTGTTCACCTAAAAAAAATAATTTTATTCCATAGGACATTATCTTTTTGCATTTGATATTTTCTGAGTGTGTCGTGGTTTGGAAATTGGAACTCCTTGGGTTATTTTATAACCTTTTTTTTTTTTTTAATGTCAATCGTAATTAGCTTTTATGATTCAGGAAGATTTATCCTCAGCGCGTCAACTTAATGATGCCTACTTACTATTTCTTTTAAATGCTCCCCAGCTTCACGTTTTGTTTTGTTTTGTTTTGTTTGACTTTTTTTTTTTTTTGGTTTTTAACTTTGAATTCTTAATATCTACCTATCCCTCTACTTTTACCACCAGAACTAGTTTTAGGTGGCAAAAACAAAAGAAAATTGTATAAATTTGTGGTAATAAAACTTTTAGTGCTTAATTTTACCTCAATTACCGATTTGATTCATCATGTTTAATTCTTAATGACTTGGTCATTAACTTTGTCTCAATTATTGATTTGGCTCTTGTTGTTGAAAGAGGATATAATATTGTGGAAATCTGCTAATATGGATAATGGAAAATTGTGTTGGAGTCATGTAGATTAATGAAAGTAATTGTAATTATTTTTTTTAAAAAAGAACAAAACACATCATATAAAAAAATAATAATTAGAAGAACAAGAAAATAAGAGTAAACGAAGAATATAACAAACAAAGATGATTTGTTCACAATTAGCGATATATATGTGCACACGCACATGTTATTAACGTACTTTACAAACTAATTTGAAGGTAATTTGTATTTTAAAACATAAAGAATTAACATGATAATTTAAGAAGACGTAAGGAACTAGATTGATAACAATTAAACTTGAGATATTAAATCAGTAATTAAAATAAATTTAAGACATTAAAAGTTTCATTATCTCTTATAATTAAACCAATCAAGGCCTGACCTTTGTTAAGCCCAACAGTGCGGAACACAGAGAATAATCTTTTAATTATTGAATATTAACGTTTATTAATTATAAAAGGTCATAGTAGCTTCAGTTGTAAGCAGTGGCATGGATTCTCTGTTTACGATGCCTTTATTAACAAATTGCTAATGGATTACTATATTAATCGAAAGAAGTACTGAATCAAACTTTTAAAAGTGTTGCATTATGGAACGTTCAGCACGTACTTTGCTTTTGAAAAATTGATCCATTTTTATCGTTGTTTTTCTTCTCCGGCCACTATAATATGTTTTACTTTTGGCCAACACCTTTTCTTGCAAGTGTTGTCTATGAATAAGTATCGGGTTTCTGTATATTATTAATCCCTGTTTTAAGGAAAAAAATATTTAATTAGTAACACTCAAGTTTGCTTAAGCACAAAACCAACTAGATCAACGTGCTTCATGGAATTTCCTTTAGAAAAATCCAGACTCGTTCTTAATTTGCCTACAAGAAAGTCCAAACATGTGCCACAAGTAGGTGTAGACCGGCTTCAGTAGGCTTAACCATCAGCAAATACAAACTTGTTTGAACTTGTCCATAAGTAACATAAACCAGCTCAGACTCTGACTTTAAGACATTCAATATAATTCAACCAAGAATCTTTTTCTAATTTTGAGTTATAATAAGTTGTTGGATCATTCTTCTAATTTGAAAGCTAATAACCCAAAAACGTGGCATCAATAAAAAAAATTTAGGTATCTAATTCTCATTCAAACAAACTTTTGGGACAAAATTGCCCTTTAATCCTCCACATAATGGTCAGAGTTATTCAAACATTACTATAGGATGACCTTGCATTATTTTTAAACTTATTGGGTAATATTTTTCTAATTTAAAGTTAAGAATAACAATTGCATCAAGTGAAAATTTTCAAAATTTTTGTAATAAGTAAGGTGAAAACTGTAGCTTATTTTAGGCAACAATTTTTTTAAAGTATGGCAAAAGATAGTAAAACTTTTATCTAAAACAACAGACAACAATTATATTTGCTTACACCTAGGTAATGTTTTTAAAGTCTATAACAACATATTTTTTATTGTGTACAAGGATTCCCTATTATTGGAGAAAATTTTTTTTGAAACATGGTTTGATACTAAATGTGAGCCTTTCAAAAAACCCTTTCAACTATTTCAAAAAGTCTAGAGTCAAAAATAGCAAAAGTGTCACGCTCTAAAAATAGGGATGACCGGCACAGGATGTGAATCACATTATACATCCCGTAAGCCACAAATTCAAGGTTTATTTCCTTTAATTAAATGTACTCAGTTTTACACTAACATTTTAATACTATTGATACTAATCATTATACTAATTATTTCAACATTTTGTAAAAATTTTGACAAAACCTCCTCTATAAATAGAATCTCCCAAAAGTTATGTATCACAAAAATTTTCTTTAAACATTATATCAATCAGGAGCTCGGCTCCTTCCAGCCAGCAGACAAAATGTATAATAAACTAAGAACTCTAATTATAAGTTATGTGGAGCACCTAATCATGTATCTCATGACATAATACATAAATTTCATATTTATATCAATAAGATATATTTACAAAACAAGCCTTCATTCTGTTCCGCAAACATCCATCATTAGTAAGCAAGACGTACAGCGTCAATTATGCTATCTGAGACCAAAAATAAATTTTCAGTGAATAACATCCCAACAATAAATAATTTAACATGAATAAAAAGAAAAGTTTAAAATAACCATGTAGATTAAGGAGACAACAATTTCCATAAAAAAATGTATAAACTTCAAAATAAAATGGCTCTATAAAATTTTGAATAAAATCTTAAACCATTGAACTATCATAGCAAATGGTAATATCACTTGATTTTTTTTAAAAGTCACATAAATGAAATAAATACTTGTAAATAAATTATTAAATAAAAATTAATGAGATATAAAATCCCCAAATAATCAGATTCATAATTATAGGGATTTATCAGAACAATTAACAAACGTGAACACATAATCCACGAGAGTAAATAACCAAACACGGCTTTTGCCATGAAGACAAACGTGGACACACAATCCACGAGGGTAAGTAACCAAACGCAGCCGAAGCCATGAAACAAACGTGGACACCTAGTCCACGAGAGTAATACTAACCAAACGTGGCTTGAAGCCACGAAACAAACGTGAGTACAATGCTCACGAATAACCATCCCTCCGTTCCACGTGCGTTGGCCATCGCACGGGGCTAGCACCTCCTATACACACCCTGCTAACTAGGTGTACCATGGCGTGTCAAGGGCTAACGAAACTGCCGTTAGCAACCAGTGTTCCGTATAAAGTTCCCTTTTTTAAAATCATTTTCAAACATGCGAGAAAATCATCACTCTCAAGATATAGTTCTCGTTCTTAAAATCAAACTCGCATGAATACTTTTAAGCATTAAACCTTACCAGAATAAAACTTCATATCCAATACTCATACTTGCATTTATCGAATAATCAAAAATTTTCAAAGTTGAACTCGCAAAAATCATTCTCTATATCAATCCAATGTTTGATAAAATAAAAATTTCATAATCAAAGTCCAAACTTAATTTAATTGATCAAATGACATTTCAAATTTGATAAATCTAATTTCTTAAAATAAAGCAATGTTAATCAACAAATATCCAATAATCGCATTGTTGTCGTAAGAAGAATTTGCATAAAAATATAATATTTGAATAAAAGAGATTTTAATGAAATATCAGTTGGGACGCTATCTACTTACCTCCAATTTTCTCAAAGCACCAGGTTCTCCTCTTACCACACTAATCGATTTCCTCTCCTTCCAAAATATAGTAGAGTCTTAATAAACTTCTAATTAACATCTCTCTGTGTGTGTGTGTGTGATTATAGATTTAAAGTTTTGGAATCAAAATTTATACTAGAGTTTCTTTATGAACATAGTTAGTTTCCCAAACCCCTCAAAAAGGACTTTGTAACATTCAAATCTCTTATTACACAATTTATCAACACCCATCCACGCTCAAGAATTCACCTAATTACAAGCAAATTTCACAATAAAAATTCTTTAGCAATCTTGAATTTAGTCCATAAATTAATGACTCCCACACTGACATACTTTTCACAAGAATTCATGAAATATCAGGAAATATAAAATCAAGCAAAATTTCTTCTAACAAACATTTTGCCAAGCAACTCTTGTACGTTAATTTTTAAACTCAAACCAAATTTCTTCTCCTTCTATTCCTACTCCTACAACTTTATAATAGAAATATTTAAATCATACTTCAGCTTTCCAAATATGTATTCCTTAAAAGAAAAATCAATCTCAAGCACAAAGAATTCCTAATTCCTATCACCACATTTCATACGATTGAAGAAAAGAAAAGGAAATTTCCATAATTTAACCTACAGTACGCACACACAGCAACAAGAAGAAGGACTGAAGCTTCTCACCTTAGAACCACCGACGGCAGAAATGGGAAAAATCGACAGGAGCTGGGGAAAAGAAAATCATGAAACCATGGCAGCAACCACGAAGCAACACACAGACAGAGGGAAATTAAGGAGGAAGTTTCTTGCCACTCATGGTCTTCGATTGCCGCAAGCAAAATGAAGGAAGCTGTGAGTTTGACAAAACCCCTAATAACAGAGAAGGATGCGGAGGCTGACAGCAGAGTGAGTGACCAAGAACCCGTTACCCGAACCACAGCACTCGCTTCAATCGATTAGTATAGAACATGAAAGTGAGAAGGATGAATCTGCCGCGCTGAACAGGGGAAGAAGAAAGGAACCTCATACACTAAGCCACATCAGTTTGGACGGAAGGAGATGAATAGGCGAATGAACTTGCCATTTCTACGAAATTATTTTGAGACCGACAAGGGAGAATGACGTCCAGCAACACCCAAAAAAAAAACAAGAACGAACAGGGACACAGATGAACAGCAAACGAGCAACAAACAGGGGAAGAACTCACGGCAAGGCTTCACGGCAGCTGCAGACGGATCTCATGCACCTGTCCACACGAGCTGATCCGCTGAGGAGGATAGATGGAGAACGGAGAGTATGAACAAGCTCTCTCTCCAGGTCCGGAGAGTTCGAAAGTGCCGAAGGAGAAGGGAAAAAAATGAGGCGGTGCCTCCGTGTTGACCGAAAGAGAGAATATAAATCTGATGTTTTATGAAATTGCAAAAATTACAAAAAAAAGCCCAAAATTTCTTCTAATAACATAAAAGACACAAATACTTTGGTAATTTTCCTATAATTTTAAAATAATTAAAATTAATTTATTATTAACAAAAATTAAAACTTTTAACCTTCAAGTAAGCTATTAGCATAAATTTTAATAACTCACCCTTTTATTTTTCATAAAACTAATTTAAAGAAAATATAAATCAGGAGATTTATTATTATTATTATTATTATTTTGGTCATTACAAGAAGCCCAAAAAGCAAATACCCAATGACTAACAATTACTTTAAAGTATACATTAACAATTAATTAAATAAATTGCTATACTCTCAATAACAAACATGATAAAAATCTCATTCCATTATAACCAACAATTATATTGGTACTCGTAGTACAAGAGGTTATGAAAGATTAAGTATAAAATATATGGTTTATTAATCCTCCTATATATAGTTGAGTCCAAAAAAAAGTCATTGCATTCTCATTTAATTTATATTTGTTGTTATCTAATAAAAATTAATTACCAAATATAGGACGCCAATAGGTCTCCCAACCTTCTCTAAAGATGCATTCGAATATTTTCACCAATCAAAACCCATTTATTTCAATTAATTATTTGATGGAATTTGTGTCTTCATTTCCAAAATTTATTCTTACCCAATTATACGCTCCTTTTTAAAAGCCACAATATAATATCTATGATTACATTGAACAGTGTCTATGATCGAATAAATCTTTCGAATCTCAAACGTCTCTATAAATTAACACTTGTTCACTGTAATTGTTCAGTAGGTTGATCAACGGGAGGTAAAGGCAAGAACATGGGCTCCTCAGTAAGCCGTGAGCAAAGTAGGATCGATACTAAGCTATACAAATGGTCGAGTGAAGAATTCCACGAGGAATGTGCTCTCATGTACACTTCGACCGGTCGTTTATTAGCACCAAGATCTCGCACTTCTTATTATAGAGTGAACCCCAACAAGTTGATTCTTACGTTCGATAATCACTTGATCCTATCCAATCGTGTCAGAGTAAATATGGAGTTCAAAGCTGTAAGAGATAGCAATGGGCTTTACAAGTTTGGTGCTGTTAAACTCAAAGATTCAGGTGATGTTCTCAGCGAGCGAAGTCTAGGAACAAGCGAATCCAAGGTATTGTTTTTGAAATACGGAGATTACAGAGATTACAGATTCAATCAGTTAGGGTTTTATAGAATAAATGAAAAGAAATATAAAATTGTTTACCACACAGGTATTGCTGCAGATGACTATTTTATGCTTACCATAGCCATTAACTGTGATCCTTCGGAAGGCATGTGAAACTTTCAGGTCCGTATCGTTATTACTCAGGAGAGAAGGTGTTATGTGATACAGATTCTATATCAGTATGGCTCCAGATGATGTTATAGAAATTGCAGAAAAAATTCGCAAAGGATTGAAGCCAAGAGTTGTAAAAACCAAGAGAACAGACAGTGTTGGGGTTCCTGGAGGCCCATTACCAAAAAATGTAGTTGTGAATGTGAGTGAAGAAGAAACTAAACAACAGAAATGAAGAAAGTGCAATCTGATTCATTCATTATACTTTGATGTGAGTACACAACTTGTATTAAAAAAGCAAAATACAAGGACTTAACTGACTAACTATCGGACTTAACTTACTAACTATTGATAACAAAATCTTAACAGAAATCTTTCACACGAATTGGGCTTTGGGCTTAGTAAATCAAGCCCATATACACTAATATCCATCCTAGTATAGAAAATCTTGAAAAAGAATAACTACTGCTGAGTAGAGACAAAATCTTCTGGTCCAATAACACTCAGACGATTTCGTAGATAAAAAGGTGCAACTGGCAATGCTTTTGTAAATATGTCTCCAACTTGTTCAGTTGAGGAACATAGCAGACATTGACAAGACCATTAGTAACCTTTTGTCGAACAAAATGAAGATCCAATTCTATGTGTTTTGACTTGGAGTGAAGAACTGGATTAGCTGCAAGTGATACAGTGCCTGTATTGTCAACCCAGATAACAGTTCCTATTAGTGGAATTAACATTTTAGTGAGTAGAGCTTTTAACCACATAACATCAACAATTGCATCTGCTAAGCTTCGATACTCTGCTTCAGTGGTTCCTCGTGAAACAACTTCTTACTTCTTAGAATATCATGTAATAGGATTGCAACCTAAAAACGTGGAGAAGCCACTTGTGGACCTTCCATCACCACGATCTCCTCCCCAATCTGCATCTGCAAATGCTTGAACAGAAAACTGATCAATTGGCCTTATTAGCAAGCCATGATTAACAGAACCACATAAGTAACGCAAAAGACGTTTGACAGATTCCTACTGTTTTATATGAGGCAGCTGCATACACTGACTAAGTTTATGAACAGAAAAAGCAATCTCAGGTCTAGTATAATAGACATATTGAAATGAACCCACTATACCGCGATAAAGATTTGGGTCACTGAATGGTTTCTCTTTTTCTTTTTATTTTTCTTTCTTGACAGAATTATTTTCATCAGCAAAAGGATCATCAGACAGTTGTAAGCCTGGAATCATAGGTGTGGGAGTTGCATCAGTATAAGTCATGGCAGTTCGCTCAAGCAACTAAAGAATATACTTCTTTTGAGTTAACAGCAAACCATGAGGAAGATACTTAAACTCAATACCAAAAAAGAAAGACAAGTCTCCCAAATCTTTTAGAGAAAACAACTAACTCATCTTTGTAATAAGAATTTGTACTTTTGCTTCATTATCACCGGTTACTATTAAATCATCCAAATATGTAGCAATGTAGGTAATACTACAATCTGTATTTCTGATAAAAAGACAAGAATCTGCCCGTGTATCAACAAAACCTAGAGAAGAAAGAGAATTTTTAAGCTTGTGAAACCAAGCTCTTGGAGCTTTTTTAAGCCCATAAAGGGGCTTGATAAGTTTGCACACCAAACGAGCATCGTCAGATGCTGCTTGAACTTCAAACCCAGGAGATTGTTCCATGTAAATATCTTCACTAAGATCTCCATTGAGAAATGCATTATTGAAGTCCACTTGATGAAGCTTCTACTTATTAGTGATAGCAAGTGTAAGAAGAGCTCTAACAGATGCAAGTCTAACAACCGGATTCAACGTGTCACTATAGTCAGGACCACCCTCTTGTGAAAAACCTTGAGTAACCAATCGAGCTTTGTGTTGAGCTATACTACCATCAGCATGAGTCTTTATTTTAAACAACTACTTGCATCCGACAAGCCTGGAACCAGATGGAAGAGGAACTAACTTCCATGTATTGAAGTCAATTAGTGCATCATATTCCTTTTTAACAGCAGCTTGCCACTTAGGATTAGATAGTGCCTCAGTGATATTACGTGGACAAGAGTCTTTTGGTACTGTAGCTAAAAATACTCGCGGTTTGAATATGCCAGATTTAGCTCTTGTGACCATATGATGCTGATTAGATAATGGCACGACAGAAGGAACAGGAGAAGAAACAAAATCATGACATGTAGCAGAACTTGAATGACGAGAAACAACAGAATTAGAGTCTGATAATGACATATCAACAGGCTAAGAATGTAACTCAGATTCTAGAGAAGGCACCTCAGGATTTGCTGATACAAGAACATTAGGAATCATAGAACATGGTACAAGAGAAGAAGGAGTGGTACCTGATTCATGTCTTGTAGACTTAGAAGCAAACAAACTTTTGCTAGGAAAAATAGCCTCGTTAAATCGAACATGTCTAGTAATGTAAACGTGTTGAGTAGCAATATCCAAGCACTTATAACCCTTATGTTTTGGGCAATAACCCAAAAAATACAAGGTGCAGACCTATATTGAAGCTTATGACTATTCATAGGACGGAGGCATGGAAAACACTCATATCCAAATACTCTTAGAATAGAATAATCTGGATTATGACCATAAAGCTTAAAAATGTACTACTATAGAAATAGGATTTAGTAGCATGTATTTTATAGCAACTAAAAACGAAACGCTATTACAATGAAAGCTGAAATGTATTAGGTGGCATTTCATACTTATCAATTTTTTTATTTACAATTTTTTTTAAATAACAAGAGGTGGTGTTTCTTTTATGAAATGCCGCAACTTGTTGTCAATAAACAATTTCATGGCATTTCAAAATGAAACGCCACCTAATAGTTATGATAATTACAAAAAATAATTTTATTTATTATGATAATTAAAATTATTGTTACTACACTTATTAATACAAATATTATAATAATTCTTAAAATATTATTATTAATTTAGAATATATTATAATATAAATTAAGTAGTTAATTAATAATCATTATTAATATATCACAACAATTTAAAACTAAAAATATAAAATTACAAATATATTTTTCAACATTTATTTCATAGTAGATATAATATTTAAAAAATGATTTATTTAACTAATCTTAGGCAGTGATTTCTTCTTAAGAAAATGCCACCTCTCTCACATATATTAAATTTTTTATTAACATTATTTGTAAAATATATAGTTATTAAATTTTATTTATTGATTATAAAATAATAATAAAATATTTAAATGAGATATGTGAGGTTTTCAAGTGATGGAAACACCACCTTTCTCTTATATATTAAACTCTTTTTCAAGTAATATTATTTTTAAAACACATATATAATAATATTTATCAAATATTAAATATTAAACAATTATTTAAATGAGATAGGTGGCATTTCCAAATAATATAAAACCCACCTCTCTCATATATATTAATTTTTTAATTAATTAATATTATTTTTAAAATATATAGTTATTAAATTTTATTTATTCAATATAAAATAATAAAAAATTATTCAAATGAAAGAGGTAATGTTTTCAGGCGATAGAAATGATACATGTTTCTTATTGATTAAACTTGTTTTAAATTAATATAATTTTTAAATATATATATATATAATAATTTTTTCCAATGATTAAACATTAAAAAAATTATGTAATTGAGAGAGGTGGCATTTCTAAGTAATAGAAATGCCACCACTTTCAGATATATTAAATTTTTTATTAATTAATAATATTATTAAAATATATAGTTATTAAACTTTATTTATTAAATATAAACTAATAAAAAATTATTTAAGTGATAAAGGTCTATCTTATAGATTAAAATCTTGAGTTAATCATTTAAATAATTTATTTAATATTTAATGTTTGATAAACATTATTATATTTGCATTTTAAAAATAATATTAATTTAAAAACAATTTAGTATATAAGAGAGAGGCAGCATTTTCAAATAATAGAAACGCCACCTCTCTCATATATATTAATTTTTTTATTAATTTATTTTATTTTTAAAAATATTGTTATTAAATTTTATTTATTGATTATAAAATTTTAATTATTGATTGTAAAATAATAAAAAATATTTAAATGAGAGACGTGAGTCTTGTAGGTGATGCAAACACTACGTCTCTCTTATATATTAAATTCTTTTTTAAATAATATTATTTTTAAAATACATATATAATAATATTAATTGAATATTAAATATTAAATAAATTATTGAAATGAGATAGGTGGCATTTCTATACACCTCTCTCATATATATTAATTTTTTAATTCATTTATATTATTTTTAAAATATATATTTATTAAATATAAAATAATAAAAAAATTGTTTAAATAGAAGAGGTAATGTTTTTAGGTGATGGAAATTATACCTATTTTTTATTGATTAAATTTGTTTTAAATTAATATAATTTATATATATATATATATATAATAATAATAATTTTTTTCAATCATTAAACATTAAAAAAATTATGTAATTGAGAGAGGTGGCATTTTTAAGTAATAGAAACGCCACTTCTCTCATATATATTAAATTTTTATTAATTAATAATATTAATAAAATATATATTTATTAAAATTTATTTATTAAATATAAAATAATAAAAAAATTATTTAAGTCATAAAGGTTTGTCTTTTAGATTAAAATTTTTTGAGTTAATATTTTTTGAAATATATAATTATTAAATTTTTTATTTAATATTAAATATTAAAAAAATTGTTTAAATAAGAGAGGTGCCGTTTCTAGGTGATGGAAATGCCACTTCTCTCTTCAAAATTATTTTTTTATTAGTTAATTCAATTTTTTTAAAAAATTGTAGAGCGGTGGGATTTCTTTTATGAAGAAACGCCACCGTTGTGGTTTTTAATTATTTTTAAAAATTAAAGATAGTTTTTAACTCTTGTTGAAACTTTTAAATCCTAATTTTTTTCATCTTAGTCATTCTCTCCGTCCAGTCGTTTGGTCTTCTCTCTTGCAATCTACAAATTATCTATTTTCTAATAGCTGAAGGTTCTTTTGTCATCTTCTCTTGCTAAGGTTGCTTCTACATTTATATCAATAACATGTTTATTTTTTTCATTTTTATTACCTCTTATTTACCTATCCACACACACACATATGGGTCTTTATGATTTGTAGTTGTTTATTTTCAATTAATAATTTTTCTTTCCAC